CAGAAAAAGCCATACAAACCCAATCCCAACCACCAAACCAATCCAAACTCTCAGTTTCAATTTCATCATCATTGAGCAAACATATCCAAACAAAGCTCTCAGAACTGGAAAGTTCATCATCAAGCAATGAAGCCAGCACAAAGCCAAGAGAGGAGAAGCTATTCAGAAGTGAAATAATAAGAAAACAGGCATCTCAGATTCAAACATCATCATTGATAAAAAGTTCATCATGAAGCAACAACATCCAAACCCTCAGAGCTAAGCTCATCACAGGGTCCAATAAGGCAGCTCAGAATCAATACCAAGAAACTCAGAAGAAGGCAATACTGAAGCAAAACTATCTCAGAGCTACCATCATTGGCAGAAGCAAGAATATCATCAAATAATCATACAGAAGCAAGCAAAAGAGAGGAAGAGAAGCGAGCAAGCTAGGGTTTTCATTGTCCATCATAAAGCCATAAAAAGCAAAATACGAATACCAGATTTCCAGCAAGCACATCATCATACTCCCTCCACCTCCGGCCGCCTAAAGCGCCTCAAGCTCATTCCTCTGTCTCCTCTCCAAAGGTTTATTTCTTCTTCCCTTTTATTTCATACCTCACACAAATAATGATAACATAAAAAATCAGAATTTGTCAAAGATTAAAAACATATAAAACTTGAAACCCTAATGCGTTAAGACAGAAATCATACCTTTGTGTCATCACTGCCTGAGTAATCCATGGAGGGAGGAGGAGATTGACGGTGGCGCTTGGTGGCCATAGGCAGCGAGGAAGTTTGTTCAGAAACAATGGCCTTCTTTGAGAACGATAAAGACGAAGAGGAGAAGAAGATGAACGGCGCCACTCAACACTGTAACCCTAATCTGAGACAAAATGAAACAAACCCTTAGAAAATATTGTCAAAATCGTCTGGGCCTTGCCCCACAAAAATCCCTAAAGCCCAATGTCTTCAGGCGTGTGCACCCCCCCCCCCCCCCCCCCCCCCCCTCTCTTTTTTGCTTTAATCCATTTTATTTTTACATTGTTTGGGCCAAGCATTCCCCTTAAGCCCATTTTAATTTCTTAAAACTTTACACAAATTAATACCTTTTCTTTACTTTATTTTCTTATGTGATATAATCTAATTTTCTTTGATTAAGTAAAAATAAAATATTAACTTTTGTACAAAAATCTTCTTTAATGTTTATTCCACTTTTAAAAAAAAGTACATAAAAAAAATAGGATTTTTCTAAGTTAAATAATTTTCTTTTTTAGAATTTTTTGTTTAAGTAAACTTTTGTATATAAAATATTAACTAAAATGCATAATCATTAATTTTTCTTAAACTTAAAACATTTTTCTTTTCTTTTAATTAAAACTTTTGTTTATATATAACATTAACAAAAATACAAAAAAAAAAGAATAAAGTACTTAATAAATATATTAGGTTAATATTTGCATCATTTGTAAATAATCACATACACTTTCACAAATACTTTTGATACATTGCTTTTTTATTCTTGTACATTGCTACATTGATATTGAGAATGCAATTCGATTTGGTTGTAAATATTATTTGGACAATACTATCCTGATATGACTCATCCCCATTTGTAAATATTTGTACCCCCATTCCCGAATACTTATTTGTAATAGCTTAGACTTTAAATTCCCGCAATTTATCGCTTTCTATATACTGTGTAGTAATTAGGGTTTGTATGCGAAGATTCAAAATCAACCGCTAGATAACCTAACACCAAGATAAATGCATGACAATCAATACACAATTCACACTTGCATCCCTAGGGTAATCCCGCTTGTTGCCTTCAAAAATAGGCCATGCTTGCATGTTGAGTTTCTTTGGCAAAACAAAACAAATCGAATGATCATAGTCCCTCGATGACGCTTTCGAAGTTGCCTAAATAAAATGATCATAGTCCCTTCAAGCAAAAATTGCCAAAGACACTTGGCACCATTGCATTCATGGTCTAAACAATGACCCGCGCCCATCCCGTTAACATCCTAACACAAGATTGCCCACCAAATACAATGGTGGAACAATACTGTTAAAAGGGTTAAAACATGAGAAAAATCTTTGAGTAAATTTAGGGGTAGACAACTCTTAGTTACTTGATCAAACTTGCAAAACACACTTGCCTATTTTCAAAACACACTTCACAAACACAATTTCCAAACAACTTTCAAAAACATTGAAATATCTTTTCGAAAAGACAAACACCTTTGTAAAACATTCGAGTAAAGAATTGTTACAACGGTTGCCTAGACAAGGCATCTTTTTCAAAACATTTTCAAACACACACACACACACACCACCATTTCAAGCAATTGAAAATCAAGGCAAGTGATCTAAAACAAGTAACTAAGAGCCCATGGATAACCATGGATGAAAAGGGTGCTAATACCTTCCCTTTTCATAATCTACCCCCCGAACCCACGAAAACATCTCAAAGGTTTTTCCTGTGCTTTTTTAACCTTTCCTTTAGGATAAAATAAAAAGTCGGTGGCGACTCTTGCTAAACCGAACAAGTGCGAAAACAAACGCAAAACCTCAAGTCAATTCTCCCACCGTATCACAACGTCCAAACCCAATAATTTTCAATGAAATCTTTCCTATGCAAATGACGTGTTATTTCCTCTGGGTCACTAATTATATATCTACATCCACATTTAAGACAAGGACACCTAACTCCTCCTTCACTTCGACAACGTTCCTTAGCAAACGTCCACGCGATAAAACTATTAACTCCATCTATAAAATTGGGTTTAAGTGCGCGTCTTCCTGAATATAGTCTATCGTACATCCAACTACGATAATAACTATAATATTCCATTTACTGCAAATTTATATAATCAAAACCTATTTAATTAGAAATATTAATTAATCAACTTAATAATAATCCTAAACATATACAATTTAAAATAAATATATGCTTTCAAAAATATTTATAAACTCCTAAAAATATTTATTTATTTTTAAACACTTAAAATTTAATTTAAACACCTAAATTTTATAAACTCCTAAAAATTTAAAAACTTATTAAACTCCTAAAAATTTAATTTAAACACTTAAAATTTATAAACTCCTAAAAATATTTATTTATTTTTAAACACTTAAAATTTAATTTAAACACCTAAATTTTATAAACTCCTAAAAATTTAAAAACTTAAACTCCTAAAAATTTAATTTAAACACTTAAAATTTGTAAACTCCTAAAAATATTTATTTATTTTTAAACACTTAAAATTTAATTTAAACACCTAAATTTTATAAACTCCTAAAATAATTAAACTCATTCATCACAAATTAATAATTAATAATTATTATAAACTAAATAATTAAACCTAAAATTTAACCCAAATACAAAAAATATATATAACCCAAATTCAACTTAAAATTTTAACCCAATGCAAATTCAACCTAAAAATTAATCAAATTCGGAAAATATACTAAATTCAAAAAAAAAAATTCAAGAAATACCTTTTATCTTGTAACTCCTTCAATCTTCTTGTCCCTTTTTGCAATCTATACTTCTATCAATATTCTTCTTCTATTCAAAGAAAAATTGAAAAAAAATTATATTCAATAACACATAAAAAGCTGTTAACAAAGTATAAATAATATTGAATTGAAATTATCTTACAACAATAATGTATGGAGATTGTAGAAATTTAATTGTGGAGAAGAAGAAATTTTGGAGAAGAAAATGGATATGGAGGAATATGGAAGGAGGAGGTTGAAGAAGAAGTTTAAACAAACTACTAACGCTACTGTATTTGTGGAGCGTTTTGATAAAGTGTATAAAGCATGTAGCGACGTGAAAATCACGCCGCAACGTTGCCACGTGATTTTCACGTCGCAACAATTCAACAACTCTTTTTTCTTTCTTCAAAACCTGAACACGCCAGTGTTGGAAGTTGTGATTAATTTATTTTTTATGATATTTTTATTAGCGACGTGCAGCCCACGTCGCAACTTTTTTTAAAACAAAAAAAACTGACACACTTAATGTTTCTTTATTATATTAGTAAAACATGTTGCCACGTGATTTTCACGTCGCAACTGGCTTTATTTAGCTACATGAAAATCACCTGGCAAAATCAAGTAGCTGGATAAACTTTATCTTGTAGTGCCAAGAATATGCATTTGAGTTTTGAGATTTCCCTTTCAAAAATTGAAACTGAATGAAGTTACCTGTGTTTTATCGGTTTGTCGTGTAAAAAAATAATTTATCTAAAAGAATATAGTTAGAAAGATGGATTACCTTCTAATAAGTGCTTTTTATATTATTAACTCAACATCTAATTTTTCTTTAAGGTTCCCTTAGTGGAATGATTGTAGTGCTTTTGTCAATCTCACCACTCAGATACATCTTTAATTTTGAATGGACTAGTCCACTTTGATTTTAATTTATCTAAAAACAACTCAAGTCTATAATTAATAGTAATACCAGAGAGGGTGTGGTTATCGCCAGGCATTCACTATGGTGGCGTGATTTAATCGACTTGGCAAGGGATTCGAGGCCGAACGACTTTTGTAACCCGATACCATATAAGCTTGGCAAAGGGGATGACATTAAGAACATGATTGTCCAATATGCTATATGCTCCAATTCTATCGACATACGATATGATTTACCAAAAACCTTCTAAAAAGGTGTAAGGCCACTAGGAGATTTGAATGATGTCCTATAGGCCCATATTGCTATTATTGTGTAATGTAGGGACATAAAGAATGTCAGTATCTTTTATAACAAATGATGAGCTAAAAATGAGAGTCACAATTATAGGTTTCTTCAAATGGCAACTTGCTATTGTCAACTGCCATGTTTATATCTTTCCTTTTTTTTAAACACTCTCAATTCAGTTTAGTGGCTTGTTTCCTAAAAAATGAACACAAAAATGGTATCCAAGTGTATAATTGGTCAATTCTCTGTTTGAGTAATGCTTTCCCCCTCTTTTTTTTCTTACAGAAACACTAATTAAATAGTACATGAAAAGCTATAAATAATCTTCAATGGAAATGCTCAATCCTTCTCGTTCGTTAGAAACTTGTGTCATTCCTTGATCATCACCTAAACCTTCCCACCAACACACATCATCATCAGCAACAACATTGTGGACATGATGAGATTGATCCGAAGTTGTTGTCGTTTGGTTTGCAATGTTTCTAGCATCAACATCCATAGCAACATCAGAAGCAACCTTTTGAACAGACCTAGGAGACATCAAACCATCTCTCTGTTGGATACAATAAGAAAACAAAATCTGAGGAAAGTTGAGTTTGTCCAACGTAGAAGGTCTCTTCAAACAATAAACAGCGACATCATGTGCAACTGCAGCAGCTTCAGGTGTAGCATAAGTTCCCAACCATAAACGTTCTTGAGTCCCCGGAACACGAATCTCCGATACGTATTTCCCCCATTTTCTTTGTCTAACTCCCTTAAACTTCTTGTTGCTATTACCATCACTTGTTGAATTACTCCAATTCATCTTTAAAGAAAGAAAAACTTTATGTATATTGTTTATAGCTAGTGTGAGTGGTGGCAAAGAAGTGGATTGTGTCAGAAAATGGTGAAGTGGTAAGTGTTTATATAGGTTGAAGATTTTGAGAATCAAAGGGGTTTTAGGCAAGACATGGTGGAGGATAGGGTGGACCATAGAAATAAAGTCAAAATTTTCAAAGGTCAAAGCAAATATGAAAAGGTTTAAATGGTTTTATTTTATGAGTCATGAAATTAACATTAAATAATGTGTTGCAAGTTGGTTTGAAGGGGTCTACAGAAGAATTGAATTAGTAGAGACCAACTCAACCTAAGTACTTGTTTCTAAATTAATTATTACTTTAAACAAAAAAACTAGTTTAGATAGTTTATGTAATTTTAATTAAACAGTTTGAGATTTGTCACAAAAAAATTAAAAAGTTCGAGTTAATTGTCTAAAATACTCTTTATGTGGCTAACAAATTGGGAGCTTAAAATTATAAAAATTTAAATTAAATGAAGAGTATTTTAAATATATTAATAATAGAAAATTTATTAAAATTTGTTTAATATTTTATTTCGAAGAGTACGGATTATTTTTGTTTATATTCTCTTTTATTATTTTAAATGTCTCATTGATAATATTTCTCTTTTTAGAATAATTACTATTTTTCATTAATATAACTATATTTTTTAGAATCAAAATATATATTGATATTGAACCAAAAACAATACAACTAGGCGTTCGTCTAGATCCAGCATATCTAAACCACTAATTCACTTACAAACTGTTTGTTAATGCATCAATAATTTTGCAATATGATGTCTCAAGTTAGGTTTGATACAAGTTGTAAACACTATATATCAATGATGTAATTTTCAATGTTGGTATTTTATTTATGTCTCCAAAATAATGAGAGTTTCTATACTTTTAGATTTCATATAAAGTTTTAGTGAAAGCACATTTAGATTTCACATACAGTTTCAGTGAAAGCACATTTTAGAATTTGTGTCTTCCATCCTTTTCCTTTGCATCTCCTTATTATCTATTAAAGCTCTTCACTCCATTCATTTTGTGTATGTTATATTTGTAGTCAATCCAGAATTTTCATCCATATATTCCTTATGCTAGGACATATAAACATCAATTGTTGTATGGTTTCCTTTTGGTCACAAAAGCCAAATTTATCTTCATTAATCAAACTAAATAATGTTATTATGGCTGTTGAAGTCGGTAATTCTATAGTTGGAGTTTGTTTGAAGTTTCATATTGTTTAAGTTGTTAGACTGTGAATGTATAAATATGTGAGAGGAATTTCACCTTTTAAATTAATTTTTAAATTAATAATTATATCATTGAAGTTTGTTTGAAATTCCACATATTTTCAGATTGTTCGATATATAAATATATGAGACAACCTCATACTTTAAAGGATCTACGCATTGCTTCAATCTTATGTATAACCTCTCTACAAAACTAAGTAACCTTACACTCCAATGTTTAACCCTTACCACAATTTTCTCAACTAGAATCATGCAGTGATGCACAGACAGTTTCTTATTAGTTAAAGGCACTTCAAAATACTTGAATGGGAGATGGTTTTCATTGAACTTTGTCATATCTTGAATCTCCTATTTTATCTTGTCATATACATTGCCATAATACACTTTACATTTTACGGGATTTACTTTGATTCCTGTTGGTTTGGAGAACTCCTCAAAAACTTCCATGACTAGTTGTATAGATCTAGTATCACCTCTAGCAAAGAAGCAACAAATTATATATAAAAGTTAGATTGATGATGCTCAACTATATTTATTATATTTAAATTTATTTAACTATATAACAAATAATATCTATGGTTGATTGTGGTGGAAAATTGAATGTAGGAGTGTCTTATTCTTTATTAAATCTTAAATTAAATTTTGTAAAAAAATTATGACTTTAATTAGATCTCTAACTACTAAATGACAAAATTAATCGATTCTTAGGTCATATCAAATTCAAAAAATAAAACTACATGGCAAATTACAAATAAGAAACATGTTTAAATTAATTAATTTTTTTTTTATAAAAAATAATTTAGTTAATTATTTTTAAAAAAATTCTGCACAATCCAAATAAAACTCTTTCACACTTTTTTTATTCCTTTTAAAAAATTACTTTCTGAATTCTTTTTTAAGTGTCATTTTAACATAAAATTCTTTAATTAAGATAGTAGATTATTAGAGTTATTTTTCTTATTATATCCTCATTTATTTTCTTTTTTCAAATAAATTCAATTATATATTCTCTCTCTTTTTTCAATAACTAATTGAGAAAATAATTAGTTTAATGAAAAATGTGAAGTAGAGTTATTGAAAAAGTAAAGGCACAATTAATAAATTATAACATTAAATTATAAAAACAACACTTAAATAGAAAAAACTGCTTTTAAAATGATATTTAAAAAGGAATGAAAGGAGTATAGTATAATTAATATGCATAATTTAAATATAAATATACTAAACTATCATTTGTATCTAAATACATTTAATGTTATTTTTTCATATTTCAAAATTGTTCTGAATTGGGCCTGCCCTTGACCCAACTCCATGTGAGGCCCAGTCCAATTATGTCGGTCAAGGCATGCTGATCAATTGTGTCCTCGACTGCGTCGGGCAGCGACTTTCACTCTCCGCAAGGAGGTAGCCTCACCACGCGGGGATAAATCCAATTAGTCTTAGGAAGATCATCGCCGGTCAGGAGGACCCCGAGGTCACCCTCCAATACTCTCATCGACCAAAACTAATCCCCCCATATGTCCTCGCGTCTGGCAGGGAGCATCCACGATGAGCCGAAACATCCCTACGAGCATCTTCCTCGTAGGGCTGACTATCAACGTCTTCGAATATCACGGAGTCTTCGTGGTTTTGGAAAGACCGCGCCCATATCCTCCTGATCGTGCGGAGGAAGTCATCCAGGTGAAGGACAACGTGCTGGTCCCCACTACTCACGTAGGACCTGACAGCCTCCACTATGGGCCTGCTTGACCAGCCCAATGAGGAGACCTTCGCCCAACGCTGGGGGCTATAAATACCCTTTCTCTTGAGAGGTCAAGTATTAAACATTTCTCACTCTCTTACTTGCTTGCATCATTTCGTATCTCATTTTGGCATCGAAGTGTCTTGCAAGTATCCTCCCCTCCACCTCACTCTCAAGTACCGCACGAAGTAAGATGTAACGGTCTATTCTGGTCAGGTAGGATCAGTGGCGCCGTCTGTGGGAAACAAGCTTCCCCGTCTTTCACTTGCATAAGACAAAAGCTAATCCAACTCCTTTTTTACTGTCATGGCTGACCTCATGGTACAAAACAACTTAAATGTTTATCCCACCGACGTCAACAACAACATCATCGACAACAACGTCGGCACCAACAACGCTGGTCCTACTGGCGATAACGCTGATAACAATAACAACACCGACAACAACAACATCGGCCATGTTGTTGACATACCCAGCCCCTCAGAATATAGAGACTGATTGACTGCCTCATCGTCATCACTGTCCCGACGACTTAAAGACGATCGTCGTCCTTTCCAGAACTACCAGACAAACCCGTTCTAGGAGGTCCCCGTTCCTGCGGGTGCTAATGCCACAACCAGGGCACCGGTCTCGGCTATAAATCAAACAAACTACTTGATCTTTTCACAAGGGGAGAGATTAAGGATGCTCAAAGATTCTTGAAGAGCCCCCAGAATACACAAAAGGCATGATTCTCCTCCTGCCTGTCAGATAGAAGACCGTCCCCAATCTCCCCTACGGAGACACAGACGGGATGCCTCTCAAAGCCTCTCTCCTTGACGAACCAGGCGACGCCCCGCGTTGGAGAGGGATCAGCCCGTTGATACGGAGAGACGTGATCACACCCCCCCCACCCCCCGCGCCAAGAGAGAAGACCCCCTGGAAACAGAAACAGAGGAAGTGACGAACAACGACACAGCCAAGGGATCCTCCCCGCGACCAAGGCTACCATCACGACCGCCATTACAATAGGTCGCCTTCTCGATCTACAGACAAAAGCGACAAAGACGACCCCCGCGGTCCCCTATCCCAAGCTATTATGGAGGCACCCATTTCCCCGGGTATGGAGAAACCTCCCAAACTGAAGGAGTACGATAGCATTGTCGATCCAGTCGACCATATTGACAGGTTCGAGGCAATAACGTACTATCATAACATCGGGGGACCGATCAAATATCGGTTGTTCCCCACGACTCTAAGAAAGATTGTTATGGACTGGTAAAAGAACCTCGCCACGGGGTCAATTACCTCCTGGAGAAAATTGAAAAACTAGTTCATTAACTCATTCACTGCCTCACGTTGACACCCAAAGATTGAGGAAGCCCTTGAGGCCATCATCCAGAGAAGCGACGAGACCCTCAGGGAGTTTATTGATCAGTTCAACTGCGAGGCCATTCAGGTCCCTTGCATCGATCATATTAAGAGATACCTGCTCGAGAGGGGACTCCTCCCGCGCACAGAGTTCAGGAAGACCGTTGGCATCGAACCACCCCAGACATTCGATTTTCTCCTCGAGAAGGCTAGGGCCTACATGGACTATGAGGAGAGGGAAGCGGCCAATAGATCCCGCGACCCAAGGAATCATGGACCAACCAACAATCCACGACACCAATATTCAGGACTTCCTCGACAAACGGGCGAGAAGAGGAAGGATGACAAACCACGGGATCCTCGTGAGCAAAGAGGACCCGCGGGGTGATTCACTGAGTACACTCCATTGACAGCTTCCCACGAGTGAATCTTGGCGGAGTGCGCTAATACTGACTTCAAGGAAGGCGGCGTCAGACATCCTCGCCCTGCTCCTGCTAAGCCCAAGGCTGACCAGAGCAAATATTGCCAGTATCATCAAAGTCATGGACACCTGACTGAAGATCGTGTCCATCTCAAAGATGCTATTGAAACCCTTATTAAAGGGGGCAAACTCGGGCAATATCGGTGCAGCGACGCCCCCTATCGAGATGCTCGCGACATAAAGGAGGTCGTGGAGGATACCCGACCATCGGATGAAATTTCCCCATTCAAATAGCCTTCTCCGTTACAAGACCGGAGAACTTTTACGTCCCTGACACGCACGAAGAAGAACCTCTGTGTACTCACAGTAGGTGGGAAATATT